CAGTTACCATGCTATCTACTTGTGTCGGAAGCAATCCTGTAGACAAATGTAAACGCTGGTGTAAAGTAGAAAANTACAGAATGCTATGCATACTAATAAGTGGACCGTGCGAGTTTTTTCCCACTTCATAGATTTGTGCATCGTTAACTGCTGGATAATGTACATTCGCTGTTGTAAAGATGAAAATGTGGAGCCAAGAAATAGGTTAACCCTTTTGCAGTACAGATTGAATTTATCGGCGGCTTTGATAAAATACGCTGGTGGAAATATCAATCCTATATTTTTAAATCCAAGCACCAGTCGCGCATCAACAAGTTCGAGCTGTTCTTTTCCAGAAGAAGACCCTCCAAGAAAAAAACAACGTACAGTTATAGCCCAGCCAGCAATGGAAACCCGGTTTGACGCAATAAACCATCTACCTAGGTATATGGATGATAAATTTGCATCAAAAGCAGACTTCCAGGATGTTCTTCACGTTGCCGTACCATTTGCGCAAAATGTAATATTTATCTATGCATTCTAAAAAACAATTGTTTTGAAAAATATCATACTACTTCCTAATTCGATGTTAACCTTTTATAGATGTTAAGACCTGAGGTACACATATGTGCACCTTCTAAATTCCACAGAAAAAAAAAAAATAACCAAAACAAATTTAATAATTGTTTTTTTGAAATCCAATCAAGCCTGAAAATATCATAAAATCATATCTTTCAAGTTTGTTTATTGCATGGGTCTGAAGAGGATAAAGCCTTTTAGAGCGCTGCGCCCTAATCTGCTAACCGTGTGAGTCATAATAATATTGTTATAACTTTGCAACTACTTGATGTTTAATTCTGAAACTTTCGCAAAAACTTCCCTACATAGTCATATACAACACTGTTTTAAAACAAAAAATTAGTTTCAAACTATAACACAGCTTTTGCATTTGAAAACAAACACCCTCTTAATTCTCATAAAAAGTTATGAACCTGTAGTCTTATTTGTAGTGAGTATTAAGAAGTGGTGTTAAACTTAAATTCTTTGCAATAGTTTGTAGTTTATTGTGTGATCGATCGATACACAAACGACTGAGATATAGCGCGTTAAAGTGACAATTTTGTTAAAATGATCAAGAATCAGTTCAGCCCAATAATAAAACTTCAAACAACGCCACGCAGCAGCTTTTGTACGTTCGATCACAGGAAAATCAATAGCAAAGACAAATTTAAATTTGAACAAATCGTCGCCTGGCTTGATTCAAAGCGAACATTTGAAAGCACATTTTTATGTTGTGCCTGTAGCTGGGTGCGCAAAGATGCTGGCTGCAATTAATTGCGACCGAAAGTGTTCGAGTTCAAATCTCACTATCCAGAACATATAATTTAAAATCTTTATTTTCGTTTTTTTTTTTTAATTATGAAAAAGTATCTGTGAAGTGCACAACGAAAAAAAAGTGGTTCGGTTACAGGTTACATGTTACTACTACAAGTACTAGTGAAAAGTTACGCAGCGGGAGTCAATTGTCACCTCCTAGGACAACTCCATGTTAAATGCGACAGTAGAAAGCATGGCTGGTAGATTTGCAAGGTACCGGTATTCGACTCTCGAAAACTAGTGAACTCACTAGTTCTGCACTAGTATTTCCGATGCAGGGGAATTACTGTCCGGTATAGTGTGTGTGCTTTCGCGCACGTGGTACAAACTAATCGACTATTTAGCCGTTTTCCATTTGCTTGCGCGCCATTTGCACACTTTTCTAAGTATTACTCGAAATAACATGAAGGTATCGAAAATAGCATGAGATCACCAAAGCCGAACAAATTTTAGTCAACACTTGTACAGATTTGTAATTTTAATATATTACCAAATACAACTAAAACATTATGGAGCTAAAAAAATGCTAGATAATTTTTAAAAGAGCTAAAAAAATGAGCTAGGAGCTAAAGCCCAATTTTCGGAGCTAAATAGAAAAAATAAATAAAATAAAAAGACGCTTTAATATACCACGCTTTTATAAATAGACTAAAAAGTAGAAAATAATATTTCTTAGTCCCATAGAATTTGTTTTGATAACTTTTGATTTTGAAATCTTAGCAAAAGTCATAATAAACAATTTATGAGATTGAAAACGAAAAACGTGGAGCGCATGCAATACAAAGAATTAGATTTAATTGACAATCCTACAACTACATAACATACTTAGACCTTAGACTTAGAATTTCAACAGCGCAACTACAAAATTTGAGATCGATTTTAAGCGATCGTTATTCATATACCCACTATGTACAATGTACATACATATATTACTTTTCATATCATTTTAAGTCTATTACATGCGCCCACGCTTTTCATTTTCAATCTCATAAATTGTTTATAATGACTTTTGCTAAACTTTCAAAATCAAAAGTTATCAAAAACAACTCCATGGAACTGAGAAATATTATTTTCTACTTTTTAGTCCATTCATAAAGGAGTGGAATATAAAAGAGTTTTTTGTATTTTACTTATTTTCTACTTTTTAGTCATGTCCGTATAAAATTTTGCAATAGATATTAAAATAATTCAACGATATTAATAGATTGGTGACACACATGAATGTATTTATGCACATTAGGAAGGTCTAAAAATACACGTGAAAAAGTAAGGTCGGAATTTTTATGCTCCCACCCCCTAGGATTGTTCTATACTGAAAAATTATGCCTCTACTTTTTTATTTTAAAATCAAAAAAATATGTGTCGCTCAAAGCGCCCAAAGCTTTCTATGTATTTTGTATGGGGAAAAAACAACTTTTCGTAGAAAAGTATAGAGCTCTTAAAAATCAATGTTTTTCTATCGGAAAACTCTGTTTCTCTGCAACAGACTACAATAGTAATACTTAATTGTTAAATTAACCATTTTTTCATGATACAAATAACTTATAGGCCCGCCAAAACCCCATAAAAACCCCGAAAAATTCAAAGTGGGAACCAATAAAAAATCGTCAGTATTAAAAATGGTCAAATAAACAATTGGGTATTATTACTGAAAGTATCCTGAAGATAACCAGAGCTTTCCGATCGAAAAATATTGATTTTCAAAAATTCTATACCATATAGAACGATGCTAGGTGGTGACAGCATTACAATTTTATTGGCACTGTAAGCGCCTAGGCAATTTTGGCCGAGTCCAAAACAGCACGCCAGTCATTTCTCCTCTGTGCCAACTGACACCAATTGGAAATGCCAAGTGGAGTCCTTCTCCACCTGGTCTTTCCAACGCAAAGGCGGCCTTCCTCTTCCTCTGTTACAAGTATCGCGGCCCGCGTTGAATACTTTCAGAGCAGGAGCGTTTCTGTCCATTTGAATGACTTAGCCAAGCGAGCGGAACCGCTGAATTTTAATTCGCTGCACTATGTCTATATCGTTGTAAAGCTCAAACAGCTCATCGTTAAATCGTCTGCGGTATTCGCCATCGCAAACGCGTAAAGGCCCGTAAATCTTTCGCAGAATCTTTATTTCGAAAACTCCAAGAGCCGCTTCATCAGATGTTTTCTTTGTCCATGCCACCGCTCCTTAAACCAGCACAGGCATGATGAGTAACTTATGGAGTGTGATCTTTGAACGACGAGAGAGGACTTAACTTCTCAATTGCCTATTCAGTCAAAAGTATCAAGAATGATAGAATACAAGATTGCGCCTATCAGAGCGGATTTTTGAGAGTAACTTTGTGTGACGTCACACTGGTGCAATTGCGAGAAAAATGCCAAAACGTGAGCAAGAATGGAAGAAGAAGAAAAAATGTTGCAAGGAAAACGTAAACAAGCTGCACAAGTGTGACGTCATACAAACAACGATTCCGTCAAATTCACTGAGAGAGGAATAGCGGTACCTTGATTGGTGCAACCTCTATTTCTCTCAATCGTGCAAAAGTATCACTTGTTGGCAAGAGTGATTCTCCGTAG